CCTTGAGCTGCACTCTGAGTGGCTGAAGTGAACATTTGTGTGGATTTGTGGTGATATTTCTGCCTGATCAGAAGTGTTTTCAGTAGGTTTAGTTTATCCACCTCCTCCTCTCATCCAGTAGTACAGTCCCAAACGTTTCTGTGTCTGCAAACGGTCTGCACGGGCCAAATCAGCAGAGCAATAATGCAGGCTTATGCACAGTATAGGGCAGGTCGACTGTTTAAAAATATTATGAATTCTCATTAAATCATGACGTTATTCTCGTACAACTTTTTTCTGGACCTGTCAGAGATTCTAAATGAGCAGAAACCTGCTGAAACACACGAGTTAAAGTGATGGAGTTTCTAACTGAATTAAAATTATTTAATATCAGAGGTTATTTCCCCAAACAAAGACAAATACATGATAAATATTTTTATACACATTTAATGTGTATTCAAATTGGCCAAGAGCTTCTTTGAAATTGTTTGGAAAATGTTGTCCCCCTGTCCAAAATTCCCAATGGCCTGCAAATTATCACAAACCAGTGTGGTTACAGGGGTTAGGGAGAAGTTAAAAGGAGCCCTGCATGTAATTTATTCCCCCTAGACTCCATATTGGGTTAATCTGCAGGCCCCCAAACCCCCAAATATTTTGGTAGAAATATTATCTGTGTATGTGTGTGTATGTACCGTGTGTCCGGCGTCTTGCAGTAACTTGGCAGCTGTCAGTCCAGCCATGCCAGCTCCAACAATAACAACATGATGAGGTGTTTTAGTTTTTGGAAGGCCCGTCTGCACAGTCTGCAGCAGCTCATCGTAGTCATTGTCGTTCAGACAATCATCCAGGTGTTGCTTCAGGTAGTTTGCAGAAGTGTGACTGGGGTACAGTGTGAGCAGCAGCACACTGACAGCAACTGGAAAGACACACACACACAAACAAACACACACAAACAAACACACACGATCCAACTTTAATCAAATTATTTAATCTTTATTGATTCACTGTAGTTGCTTTTTCCCCTGAAGCAAAGTTGTAGAGCCAAAATCTAGTTGAGCCGCTACACCAGAGACACTCAACTGTACTTGACCCTGTTTGCATCACATTTACAGTGAATACGTTTCTGTTCCGACATTTACAGGCTGGAGTTTCCTCGGTCGAATAAAATTCTTCTAGACAAGCAAAAATTGACTCATTTATAATTCTGGTCTCCTTTGAAAGGTCAGAAGCTAAGGAATATAAATCCCCATTGTACATTAACATATTTATTTTACCATTACAGATTACATGGAGATGAAATACAGAAAAAAATAGCAAAAATTGACTCATTTAATCATAAACTGATGAAAACCAAACTGTAGAAGTGTAAACCTCACAGAGCAGAAGTATAACTGTCTTCAGTGGGTTTGAATCACAGGGAAAAAATCAAAGGACTGCAGAGAGGAAATGTGCACTTTCAGCACATATTCTCTTTTAGGCTACTCGTGGACAGAACTCGACACTATTTACTACCAGCCAGATCAGGTTGCCAAAAGTGTTTACAGAACAAAGTGTCTCAAAGACAGTAAAAGTTTAAGTGTTCCTTCAATATTAATTTTGCTAGAAAATACTCACAGAATTTCCATTTTGGCTCACGCAGATCCATCTCAGTTATTAAGACTATTACGTCTTCTTTCCCTCTTCGGTGACATGAAGAGGATGAAGAAGAGAAATATACACAATAGACAGCAGGTTTTAATCCTGGAACATTGTGACTTCTCTGTCTGACAAAACTGTGTCAATTTGTCAAAGACATTTACTTTTGAATTCAATGTAATTTGATGATCATATTATTTAAACATGTACAGAATTTATTTAACAAAAGAAAACCTGAAGAAACTCTCAAGAAAAACACAATCATGTGATTGTGAGTGTAACTCAGTTTTGAGAAAATGTTTACATAATGTTTTACACATTCTGTAAATTCCTTAAATGTACATATTTGCTATTAAAACCTAGATTGTTTTCTTTTAACTGAATTATATGTTATTATTTGCACGTTTGAATTTTAGTCTAAGATAAAAAATAAATAAAATGACTGATGATTCTTACCCTTTGAAGAGCTAAAATGACAGAATCTGCCGTTAGAGAAACCTGAAGGGAAACTGTGGCCTCTTAAACACGTTCATTTAGTGCTGGCCTTATATCTCGTCAGACAAGCATGACTGCAAATAGTATGACTTCATGTGTTTTTTTAACATTAGCATTATTCACCAATTCCTCAGAATCAGGTGATCAATAACAACCGGTCTAGAAAAACTAACATTCACCTGTTTAAAACAAACACCCTTTTCCAGGAAACACACTTAAAATAACAAACCCAAAATGAATCAGGAATAACTCTTCAATCATTTGGCCTAAATGCATAATTCTGGTCTCCTTTGAAAGGTCAGAAGCTAAGGAATATAAATCCCCATTGTACATTAACATATTTATTTTACCATTACAGACTACATGGAGATGAAATACAGAAAAAAATATGATATTTTCAAAAAGCTATATTTTAATGCAATAAACCATCAAAACTGTTGCTCGGGACGCCCCCCTGAACCCCCTGGTCCCTCTGCTCCGCTCTCGGGACGCCCGCCCGAACCCCCTGGTCCCTCTGCTCCGCCCTCGGGACACCCCCCTGAACTCCCTGGTCTCTCTGCTCCGCTCTTGGGACACCCCCCTGAACTCCCTGGTCCAGCAGCTCTGCCATCCAGCATCCCGTCTGGCCCTGTTCCCTCAGTTCTGCCCTGCCTGTTCGCCTGACCCTTCCCAGCTCTGTCCCCCTCTCTGTGTCTCGTTTCTTTTGGACCCTGGACCCCCGCCAACCGGATCCCCCCCCCCCACGGACTTCTTCCCAGCCAACTGGGAGGTCCGCCTGGAGGCGTCCATTGAGGAGGGGGCCCTGTTGTGGTGGCAGCCCGGCTGACGGTGAGTGTCCTGGTTATTTCTCCTGTTTTATCTGTGATTCTGTTGTCCCTGGAGTTTTCCTGTACTCTGCCTGTCTCCCTGTGTCTCCTCCCCTGCGTGTGCTCTCCCTCTCTCTCTCTCTCCCTCCACTCCTGAGCCCAGCTAACGACCTGCACCTGCACCTCATCAGCCACCTCCTCTGCCTGCCACACCTGCCAGCAATCAGCCTCATCTCCAACAGTACTTCTGCCCTGGTTCTCCACTGCATTGCTGCTTGATCGTCGTTGCTCCTAACCCGGTGCCGCTTGATCTCTCAAGTTATCACATAACCTGCATGATCTGTCTCACTGTCCTTGGTTTTTCCAGAGCCACTAACCTTGTTTGTCTGTCTGTCTCTCCCCAGGTTCACTCACCCTCGTCCTCTGTCAAGTCGGCTGGGCTCGCTCACCTGCCCTCTCCCCTCGGACTTTCCCCACGGCATCCTCCCAGTTCTCCCGTGCCTCGTTTCTTCCTCAGCCCCCGGTGCCCCCTGGCCCTCTGGTCTCAGTCTCCTCGGTTACCCGTGCCTGCGTCTCCCCGGCTTCCACCTCTCCCCTCAACTTCAGTCCCTCAACCCCTTCTTTCCCCTAAATAAATTAATATCCACAAGGTTGTGTCCTCTCACCTCATGGGAACCCTGTCAAACATGAACTAAAAGGAGATAATAAAGTTTTATTTCAGTTATTGATTATTCTTGCTTTTCTCTACCCACATGCTTGTCATTCATGTCTTTATTGTACATTGGAATTGGTATGGTATTTTTAACTGGGGACAGCTGAAAATAAGCCTTTTTGGCTAACTCTGGCATATTTTCTGAAATGTTATCAATATCCATTGTCCTTGTCAAAGTAACTTATTAAATTATTAAATCCTTTGGTCGACATTAAAAAATAATGTGTTTAGCAAACTTATCACTTGTATTTTATAGTAAGAAAATCAACTCTCCCTAAAGGCTCAGTCACATCAGCATTAAAAACAACAATATTTTTCAATCAGAGGTGGATCTAGAAAAATATTTATGGGGTGGCGAGAGGGTGGCAGGAATTTTTGAGGGGTGGTAACATATGGCAGATGTGTGTATATATACTGAATTTAATCACAGTTATCACAGTTTGATGAGAAATAGTATGTACACACTACAAAAGGGCACAGGCTGCAATTTAGGGACTCATACAAACAAACTTAATATCATGCAATCAATGTCTTGCATTTGAGGTTTCATGTGAAACTGTTCATATTAGGAATAAGTGATCATACAATGTGATCTCACTTAATAGGAGATAGAAGTATGATAACACTACTTCAGGTGGGGCATTATCACAGGAAAGGCATTAAGGTAAGACACAGGTGCTGAGTCGCAGATGTGTGAGATTGTTTTTGACAGAAAGGCAGCATTGCAGCATTTGCACAAGAAGAAACCATGATGGGGACTCGAGAGAGACTTAAGTCGCGAACACAGTGACTTCAGACTCAACTTGAGAATCGTCCTAAAAAGACTTTAGACTCGACTCGGACTCGAGGTGCGGGACTCATGAGCAATGTTTATTTTTTAAGAAACGTCTGATGAGCGTGCTGTTATTCCCCTCCCTCCGTTACCTATAACCTGCCTACGTAACACGTAGCATCTGCTGCGCGGCCGCACGTGAGAGAGGACAACAAACACCAGCAGCTGCTGAGTCATTCATCATAAACTTTGGCTTTAAAACTTCATACAACAAGACCCAAACAAAGACGCGCTGAACGCAAAATAGTTTAGAAACCTGTGGTGAGTAAACATGTTTAGCTCAGCATCGGCCATCTAACGTTAGCTTGCTAAGATGAATGAGCGTTTGTTTACTTGTGGTAGTCAATTAACATAATTATTTAGGTCTGCCATCACCTTAATTATTGCCGTTGGTTGGAAAGAGGTTACAGGTTTATTGTTAATCAGGTAACCTTACTTTTATTTAGGTATAACGTTACACTGGTTTGTGAGTCTGCAAGATGTGTTGACTTGCAATAGTTTAAGCTGTCATTGACTGTAGACGCATTGTACATTAGGCTACGTGGTTTGTTCTCTGTAAATTAAAAACAGGTTTGTTGTTGATTATGCAACGTCACAGTTTTATTTAGTTAACACAACACTGGGTTTAAGAGTCTGGGGAGTGTTTTGACTTACAGCATTTAATAAGCCGTCAATAATTGCATTGCACGTTACATGGTTGTGCTCTGTAAATGAAAAACAGGTTACAGTTATAGAATTCCTTATAGCTATGCTATGTTTTAGCAACCTGGATTGAACGCAGCAGGTGTTACAACATTCGTAATAACCACAAGAGACGTGAGACTTGAGAGCATCTCTGGAATAAACTATAGAAAGAAAAACATACCCATTAGAGATCTATGGACTGAGCTGTACTAAAGTGAGCATAACTACACTGTAAATAAATGGGTCAAGGCACTCAAACAAGGTACTGGACATCACTTTTATTGTTACGGTTAGTGGTGGTGTGACCTCAGGCGGGCGGCCTGAAGGCAGAGCAGGGGGAGAACAGAGTTTGGAAGGTCGTCTGAGCAGGCCAGGGGGACAAAACAGTTCAGGAGGTCGTCCCGGGGGGCGACCCAGACGGCCGTGTAGAGCAGAGGGAAAACAGAGTTCAGAGGGTCCACAGAGTTCAGGAGGTCGTCAGGGGGGGTGACCTCCTGAACTCTGAGGACCACGGACGAGACAGCTGGGCTGAGGACCACGGACGAGACACGAGGAGCTGGTGCCGGTCGGTCCACCGATGGAGCACGAGGAACAGGAATCGGCTGGGCCACCAACGGAGCTGGTCTTGGTCGGGCCACCGACGAGGAACCAGGAGCCGGGGATCCGGAGAACACGCAGGAGCTGGTGAAAGCAACAGGCTAGACAGCTGAATGCTGCTGCTGAGCCGAGTAGCATGGTAGTAATGAGTCCCTCAACCACGGCTTGGCAGCAACTCTTCCATGAGCCAGAGACCCAAAAGCTTCCCGTTCCAGATCATCAAGGGCTTCCTTCCACAAAACTTTTAACTCGATTAAGTCGCATACTAGCTTGCAAAGTTCATCCGAGTAGTCTGCTGGGTCCATTTCTGTTCCGGTCATTCTGTTCCGGTCAGGGTGGTGTGGAGGCAGGCTGGAGGACCCAAACGCAGGACGCAAGGCAGAGGAGGAACAGTTGAATGGAGTTTAATACAAACTAAAGGCGAGCACACTTACAAGCAGAGTGGCTGATCAACAGAGTCCAAAAACAGGTTATCCAAAGGTACAGGGTGACAAGACAAGTTACAGGAAGGCAGAGAGTATATACACGACAGACTGGGGGGTAACATGAACAATGACCGGACAAAGACAAGACAGAAACACCAGGTATATATACAGACACACAGGGACTAACGAGCAGGGCGGGAGCAACACAGGTGACAGACATGAGGCTAACGAGGGAGAGACAGCAGGAAAACAGAGATGCAGGCAGGCAGAGACAACAGGGGGTAACAGAGAGAACACTTAGACAAGCAGACATGGGTGAATAACCAAGAATGCACAAGTACGAGCTAAACAGAACCAGTAATGAACAAGGGAAGACACAAGACAAAACGGGAACACAAGACCAGGAGTAAACACAAAAGATATTAACTAATGTAAGGACTAGTAACTAACTGAACAAGACTACACAGAGAAACACAGAACCTAAAACAGACTTAAACAGGAAAGACATGAACACAAAAACCACACTCCTAACATTTATTGTTTACTCAGAACACACATTCTCCCCATTTTGTCCCTCAGTAGCTTGATTTTCCAAGTACAGTATATACAATATTCACAGCAGTTAAGGTGACATGAAAGGGACATTTCATGCATGTAAATATGAGCTGTTGTATCAACAAATCAACAAAAAGGCTCACAGAGTTACAAAAGGGTATGTTACATCAAAATCTCCACAACCCTGAAAAGAAGTCACATAAAAACATACATTTTGCTCCCAGTCTGAAAAACTACAAAACATTTTGTGAGTAGGTTCATACAGGCCTTTCCTGGATAGTTTCATACTGTATATACAAAAAAAGAACATTAAAAACAACAATAATAACAACACTGCTTCATGTTCAGCAGGATTTACATTTTTAACTTTGTTTCTCACGCTTTTGGTTTTATTGAAGGTAATATCAGATTTTATCAGTTGCCAAAACAAAGATCTAAATACAGAAATTTAAAGTACAGATTATGTTAAGGTAATCTTTTTAACAGATTTGTAAAGGTCACCAGTGAACATAACATGAAGTTACCATGCCTATAACAGCTGAATGCGGCGATTTTCATGTTGCTCAGCAAAACGCTTCACAAATTTATCTAGCTCTAATGCCTTTGTGTGTTTTGATTCAATGCTGAGGACAGCCAAACTCGATAGTCTCTTTTCTGTCATAGTTGACCGCAAATAAGTCTTTATGAGCCTGAGAGATGAAAAACCTCATTCACAGGATGCACAAAACAACCTTGCTCTCCTTTTCCCCCTTTTGTCTGTCTAGTACTCTCCTTGTCTGATGTAACTCGTGTTTGAGATCCTAAATATTTGAATCATAAGCTTTAGCCAGTAACAGAACAGCCTCCTCTCTCAAAAAAGTTGGACGGATTTAGTGCCTGTACACCCTGCATAATGTTACAATTTGTGTTAGAAAATCTTTTTCCTATTTCTCCAATCATGTTATCCAGAACTGGATAGTACACAGAGACACAAAAAGTGTGTTTGCTATCCTGAACTACATGCTGTCTATCTTGGCCTCTTTGGTTTTTGCTGAGTTGTATCAATGTTGCTTCATTGACATAAATCAAGTGTTTCACTCCACATTTCCTCAAAAGAGGCTTGACTACAGTACTGGACCAGTGTCTCTTTAAGTGCTTCATAAGTTCAACAGCCTTATCATAGTCCACTGTTTTAGACTGAAGTGTGTCTGATAAAAAATTGGAGTCACTCAGGACCTTTCTGAACAGAACAAGACATCCAGCAAAATTCAGATCAATTTGAGCCAGTATCCCTCTTGCTATACAGCTCTTTGTGGATCGTTCTCAGATGCGATCTCTTCAAGCACCTGTACTATCGCAGGCAACCTGTCCATAACATTGCGACATGCTATGTGCCTACAGGCCCAACGTGTATCACTTAGCTGTTGGAGTTCCCTTGGTACACCATCAAACATCTCCCGCTGCACTTCTAGCCATTTGGTATGTACATAATACATAATACATACAGTCGTTCCAATAATGAGAAGAAGTTTCCTGCATCTGCCACACTTTTTACAGCGTCTACTATAACTAAGTTCAAGCAGTGTGCACTACAGTGAACATAGAAGGCATGTTTGGCTACTTATTTTATTTTTGCTTGAACACCTACATGTGCCCTGCGCATCACTGCTGCGCCATCGTAGCCCTGGTCTACAAGGTTTTTCATGAACCACACCGTTGTAAAACTATCTCAGAACAAATGACATTTGCTCTTTTTTCTGAACATCTTTAGTTTCATCAACAATAACTGAAAACTGCTTGCTCATTTTAACTTCCTGGATGATTTCCTCTTTGACCATTGCAGCCAAGCACTCAAGTATTTCATT